TATACTGGGCCTCCCAATATTATTCGCAAACCAATTCCAGTTCAATGCAACCAAATACGTCATCTCCCGTTCCACCTGTTCCACGAACCACGTCGGCCAAATGTATCACCTGCGAATAGTCAGAATGATGACACTCCACATGGTATGAAGAAAGCTGCCGAACTTGCTCCGATTCCTATTACCGAATACCCAGTACCGAGAAGAGCAGGAAACAGAGGAAGAAGACACCAAGCTCCCAGCGGAAGCGAACCAACCCTCCACTTAACACATACTATCACACAAAACTTTTACAACCTCACATATACCACGTTGACTTCAAAATTGCCAAACCTAAACCCTAAATATAAGCCACATGATTCATTCGATTCTATTCACCATAATCCTGTATTAATAAACGAGTTAAACTAGTACTGGAAACGGAGACGACCCAGAGGGCATATGAATAGTTCATTTACTAGTTCCCTGCCTATCAAGCCTTTATCATATCCGATGCGCTTCGTTTGATTGGGCCCCTTTGAGGGCGATCAGGCCATGCTGCTTGCTTGAGAAGGTTGCTGATCTCTCTTTCTGGAAGCAAATTCTCATTATCACACCACCAGCAAGGTCCGGAAACCCCAATGATGTTTTGAAATTTTTCAAACAGTTTTAGTTTCTCATTTTTAGTTTTAGTTTCTCATTTTTAGTTTCTCAATTTAAGAAACTAATAGTTTTAGTTTCTTATTTGATAAAATAGTTTCTCATTTCTGGCAGAAATCACAACACAATGTCATGTACTAGCAGTTTCATACATAGTTTCTCATTTCAAAAGATAGTTTCTCATTTCAACCAAATGAGAAACTAACTTTCTCATTTCAGAACTTAGTTTCTCAAATGAGAAAAAAACTTTCTCATTTGAGAAACTGTCAAAAGAGGATTGTGGTCTGGTTCCCGACCTTGCAGTTTTCGACATCGCCCCGTCTCTTCTTCAAACCTTCGTCACTGACATTCGTGGGACCGCGGTCAAATTCGTCAAGCCACGGCAGCTTTCCTTTTGTAACGTGGACAATGGTGTAAACCAGGGAAGCAAAATCGAACTCACTAGAAACTGTGTGGTCCTGTTGAAATTGGGCTTGAGCAGGCGGTCATGCGCATACGGAGTGGGGAATTTCTGCAAAGTCTTTTCCATCGTGGCGCAACCCCAGTCAGAAAGCATGACATCTTGTTCTTGTACTTTGCCGCTAGCTGCATCACACTTCACAATGATGTTGCCTGGTCGCACATCCAGGTGATAGACGCCAAGTCTGTGCGCAGCCTCGAGTGCGCAAAAAACTCGTTTGATGATTGTGGCTGCGAAACAAGAATTTTATCCGAACATGGGTCAATGCAATGACAACGACACCTTTCAGCCTCAATCCCTTCATTCGGCACACCTCATCGCGAATTGTTGCCTGTAGATCTGACAATGCGTTCTCGGTTGCAAGCGAAAGTGTCGGAACGCCGTCAATGTTGTGGAACTTCTTCAATATTTTGGCTTCAGTTGCTAGGCTTCGTCCTCGGTTCGCTGAAAGTGGAACCTTCATGAACTCGTCGCTACTCTTGTCTCCAAGTTGGAACACGTTCGCAAAAGCGCCACTTCCAAGATACTGGAATGTCAACTCTTCTTGCAGAGGAGACACTTGGGAGAGTGATATTGTTGTATCTTGGCCGTATCTCAAGCCTTGGCCGTCAGCATGCAACAAGGTACCAGCAAGAAGAGCAAAGCCGGACGGCGCTTCGTTGTTAGGAGGGGTGCCTGGTGACCACGTCGGTAGGCCGAAGAGTTTTCCCATGTCTGGGTCAATCCCAAGTGGCACGCACCCAGTCGTTTTGCCCTCAAGCTTGACATCGTTGGTGCCGAGTCCTGTGATCTTCAGCTCAATGACCTCGATTGACAACTGAGAGAGCGACACTCCAACTGCAGCTGCCTCAATGCCAGCACCACCAAAGTGAAAGGCGTGGTAGAGCTTCTTCGCCAAATGTCCAACAATTTGGTTTCGACCCTTCTCCAGGCGATTGTTCAATTTATTTTGGTCTTTCGATGATGCCTTGATCTCCACGGGAACATTCACCACGGCCGGAAGCCGAAGAGCCAGGTGCTCTGTGTGTGTTTGAACCGTCGATTTGTCAGTACGCTGTTCGGTAGTCACGCCACAGTCGAACGAGTATGTCCCAGTGGAGGAGGCAGCATCTGACCCATCATTATTGCCTGGCTGCTCCTCGTGTTGAGTAATGAGTCCCACGATTCGGCACACAAGTGCATGCAAAATGGGATGATCGGCTTGAGTTTCTGCATCCATCTTAGTCGGAGGACGGGCATACTGCTTTGTCTGACTTTGAGGATGGAATGTTTGGCCCTATTCCCATGCGAGAATGGCAGTGGTTGTATTCTTGACCTTTGCTGGATCCTGCGTTTCTTCAGCCTCCTTGAACAGAGCAGAGACAAACAAATGAAAGCATTGCAACCTGGTTTGTAGCTGCTCTGAGACCCGAGCTAACAGGAGGACTAGACCATTGTCAAGTCCGGTATCAAGCGTGTTGGTTCCCGCTGGTGGACTGGCTTCCTTTGCTCTGTCAAAACGAGAATCGAGACTATAGTTGGCATCTGATTCGTTCGTACTCCTGGTTTCATTTCCTTTGGCACAGTGAAGAGCAAGCTGGTTTTTCATAATATCATTGTGCGCCTTTTGAATACTATCTGCTCTTGCCGCAACCAATCTGACCTTTGTCCAAAGAAACTCTTGGTCACGGCGACGAATGGCTTGTTGTGTGTTCTCTTTATTATTATACTCCTCAATGAGTTCTTCTCGAAAGTTTTCGCACTCGGACAGCAATTCGCCAAGGGAAGATTCGCCACCAGCCATCAGAAAAAGTTCCGATCGGTCTGGAATCGTTAGATCCTCCAAGACACAGTCGGAGTCTTCGAGTTTGGCCTTCCATTCCTCCACCCACTCTTGACACCTCTTGGCTCTCTGTCTCCAGCGGCACGTTGCCGAATAGTTGTGCTGACCAGCATCGTCTTCATCCGCGACTCTGCGAAGAAATGAACCCTCGCCGCCGGCATCCACTTCCTGGGAACCCTCCATTGCTTCAAATTACGTGTGATTAGCGCCTCTCGTTGTACATGTAGTGGCGCGGTTGCTGTTGGCTCAGATTTTGGAGCGTAAGGGAAGTGATGCGTTTATTTCAACAAGGTCTTCCACGCTCCACGGTCAGGAAAACGAATCGAATCAATCGTGAATGACACTGGTCTCGACTGCCCGCACCATCAACGTTACGGTACCGGTACGGTGTACATCCATCTCCAGCTAGGTTCGCACCGGAGATTGCATCCTTTCGGTTATCCATCTCCTTTGGTAGCTACAAAGAAGGAGCTGGCTGCACGATGCACCGTCGGCAACCACGATATTCAAGTCTTTTGCTTCCTCGAGAAGGTATCACGGTTGTCACAGGCTGTTGGTGCCTTGGAGTCGAGTCGTGCAACCTGCTACCGACTTGTAATACTACCAGCGGTGCAGAGTTGAACTTTTTGGCAGCAACCGACTTCTTAGGTTGGAGGGCTCAGTCCAAAAGGATTTCGTTTCGCACCAGCCTTACGCCATGCCATGTGGGCCGAGTCGAGTCCCAGCCAGGTACTAGTATTGGATGCCTCGATCGTGTGGACTGTGATTCGGAACTGAACAACAGCAACGCAGTTCGAGGCACCGGTGGCGTCGTCATTGCTCGAATCCTGTCAATGGACTCGACTCAACTCGATTCAGCCCCAGCGAAATGCATTCGATGCGTCTTCGCGCCTCTGCGGTCGATCGTGTGTAGCAGCATGGATGAGCGTTTGTATCTCTAGCCTCTACCTAGCTAGGCACAGCTGTACCGGTGTCGTGGTCATTGTTCGACTCCTTCCAATGGGCTCCACCAGTGTCATTGGACTCGACTCAGCGTTGCAGGTCAAGAGTGGATGCGCGGCAACCAGCATGCACAATGGCTTCGTCTTGACCAGATCCCGAACGGATCCCAAGCTGCAACAGATCTTGTGAGAAGAGAGGGAAACCAGGCCGGCGTGCAGCTTTTTAAATTAAGATAATTAAAGGATTTGTATGACGTTCACATGCTCACAATTTCACTTGAATTGATGCCAACACGTGCACACATTTTACCATTCTCAATTTGAAAGTCTTTCACCACACACAATTTATTTTTCACCATCATGACTTTTAGTAGAGGGTTACCAACATGGCGTTGCTTCTTGTTTCTTCTACTGATAGCAGTAGGATCTCTAATCTGTAGTGCTAATGCTCAAGAGTTGGCATCGGATGTGGAATGGCATGGACTGCGAGCGAAAGCAACAATGGAGAATGATACGTCCAGTGAGAATGATAGTGAGAATGACTCTCCGGCCAAGAAACCCCGAAAATTAAATAATCAACCCGTATGTTCCAATCTATCATCACGACGGCACTCTGCCTTTGACGTGATTACGTTGCGACGCCAAGGTCGTATGAACCGAGTCTATCGCATCCACACACCTCCTCAGTACAACTCGAATCGACCTCACAAGGTGGCGCTGGCATTTCACGGTTGGGGTGAAACGTCCTTGAGTTACACCGACCCCGATTGGTTGCAAGCGGCCGACGATAACAATTACATTCTCGTCATGCCCGAAGGAATCCAACAAAGTTGGCGATTCCCCGGTAGCGCTGATGGCGTGGGGCGCGATGGAGAGTCGATTACGATCTGTGACTTTCGCAGCAACGGCCCCGACTATTGCTACGACGGATGTGCCTGTCGCACACGCTGTGGATGGACTCAATGCGTCGACGACGATGTTCAATTCGTCGCGGACTTGTTGGATGACTTGTCACGACACATTTGTGTCGATACAACGCGCATTTACTCGACGGGAATTTCCAACGGTGCCATGCTCACGTGGACATTGGGACAAGATGCCCGCACAGCACCGCGACTAGCAGGTCTCGCACCCATGATTGGGACGCCGCATCCCGATTACGCTGTGGGCAAGGCTACTTCCGGTCGATTGCCGGTGATTGGGATTTACGGCAAACGGGATGACGTGGTGCCTCCGGGTGGTTATCAAGAAAGTCAAGTGGAAGATACGGCGGGGTATTATTGGATTCCACCGCATCGATTGCACTCCCGGTGGGCAGCCGATCATGGATGTCCCGTTCGTAGTGCCAATGGGCGAGCTCCGATTTCGTACGGAACGGGGAGTACCAATCTGCAAGGCTTTACCGTCTCGTGCCGGTCGCATTGTCCCAATGGAGAGAATCAAGTCCCGTACTCGGTCGACTGTCGAGCCGATATGGGGCATGAAACGCCCGTGTGGATGATGCATGTGGCATTGCGATTCTTTGAACAGCATTTCATTCAGCAACAAAGGCAACAGCAACGAAACAGAAATGGTAACTTGTTTGACTAACTCAATGTGAAATGAGCTACGCTAGCTGGCGATATTCCAGTCGTCATCAGTGAGAGACACACTCCAACATGAGCGCTACAAAGAACTCAAAACAGCAACAATCGGACACAGCAACATTGCTCCTCATAATTTATTCATTTGTAGGGTAGGTACAGGCAGGCAAGCTGACTGCCAATTTTTTTTGTGTATTGGGAGGCCGAAGAGCTCTAGCTAGCTAGCTACCGGTATGAAAGTGCTTTTGTCTTTTTGCTTCCGAAATCGATGTGACCGTAGGGCGTGGAAGCAACTAGATAGTGGGGAAACTGAGCAAACCTTGGTGATTGAAATTATTTAAATGTGAATAGCAACGAACGTTTTATTAAATTGACACAGCTGATGCTTGCGATACATGTAGCATGCATGGATGTTGTTTCTACTAGTACATGTATGGTCAGTGTCAGGATGCTGACTGCACCCACCCAAAGGTCGGGAGCGACAATATGAAAGGACAGCTGTATCATTTATGTTGAGCACCTTGGTTTGAAAGTTCAGATATTCTCTGCAGCTTTCTCCTACGATGTATGTCATACTTACTGGAGTCTAGATACAAAACATATATGCATTCAACGTCATGTACACCTACGATAGAAGGATACATGTACATGTACCGCTACTACCGGTAGTACCTGGTGGGATGTGATACTGGTGCATGATCTTGTTCGCCTCGCTCGCAGGAGTGATGAAAACATCATTCGAGCGATTCGATTCGATTAATCATTCGAATATTCATGATCACCCAGTCTCTCGTCTCTCGTTGTTGGGCAAAAGCAAATGCAAGTCTTAATAATTGTTGCAGCAAGCAACAGTAATCAGTGGGGCTTTGACGCTTTGACCCACTGAAAATTGCTAAATGATGATAGTCTGCCTCTCGTAGACCACCCACCTTGGTCGGTAATTACTGCAGTAATTCCTGGTTACTGGTTACTTACTGTACTTTTACTGCCTTTATTGGCCAGTAGTTACTGCAGTCAGTAATTCCTGGCAGTAATAAATCTGCCAATTCAACAGTAATTGACAGTAAATGACAGTAAAAGCACAGTATTCACCCTATTTTAGTGCAATTACTGTGATTTACTGCCTTCAAATGGCTTTAAATTACTGTCCCTGATTACTGCTACTGAGGAATTACTGCATTACTGCCATTACTGCTACTTTTTGGCCCCTCCAGTCAGTAATCAGTAAACAGTAAATACCAACCAAGCCACCCACCAGTCCACCTCATACCGGTGGCACGATGTCAGTGTGACGGAAAGCCATTCGGTCAGTCGCCCAATTGCAAGTCATCTAATCTACTGGAGAACATCAATAAGAAGACGGAGACACAAAGGCAAGCACAATAGCTGCTGTTGGGGCAGGGGGCAAGGCTGACCACGGAATGCACAGAGGAGGTGAACCTGCACTTGATCACCTCTCACTATAGACTTAGACCAGCAGTACGGTAGCTAGCTATTGAGTAGTGGGCAGACGGCTACTAGCTAGAGATGAGTGGATCAGCTGTGGATCATAGTAGAGTTGTACCTAGCACCCATAAAATCCTTACTAGTCCACACAATGTCCCTGTGACCGGAAGCAGAGTTGGAAAGGTGTATCCCTGCTCAGGAGTAACCATTACTAGAGCTAGCTCCAATGCTCCAGGAGTACCCGGGCACTCAACAGAGTAGACTACGAAAAGTACTCGTAAATCTGCACGGATAAGGAAACGAAAGTGGAGAGGGCCACTGTAGATACCTGTAGAGGCATGCAGATGGACACCGGCGACTCGACTGTCACTCGAATCTCTGCAGTTATTGCTTGCTCTTTCTCCACTACAAGTACTGGCTCGCACGGCCCGGCCCCTCTATGTAGTGAGTACTCGTACGTGTAGTGTGCTACCACAAAGAGCGAAGAAAAACCGGAGTATGAACCCTCGAAAGATTTGCCGAAGATTTTGCAATAATTGCATCGAACTGTGAATGGTGAATGGGTTGCTTGGTGAAGAATTGCAGGTGTGATGTATGTGTGTATTTATTTGATAGCAAAGCGTCTGCCGGTAGCTAAGCCATGCATGCATAGCTAGCTAGCTAGTACGCTGTACTCGAGTAGCTCGCTAGCTAGCTAGAACTAACATCCAGCATCCCGCTACTCTATCGCAAAAATGCACCTACTAGTAGAGTCTACTGGCTACCCTACTGGTACCGGTAGCTAGCAATTCATGAAGAGCCTCGCCCCTGGACCTGGTGAACTCCTGGCGACCCACATGAGGCCGACCAGTCCCGAGCACATGAAACAAAACATGTGAGATTTAACAAGGAAACACATGGACTTAAACACGAGGCATGAAACAACACTCCAAGACAAAAAGGAGTCGAGTCACGAATAAAAGACTTACATCCTCGACTGTTCTTGGTGACACCACGGCACCACCGCGCAACAGTCACCATGGACATGACACCAACCAGCCACGGCAACAACAACCGTAGCACCAAAACACCATGATCAAGGCCGTGGAAGGCACAAGGACGGGAAAGGGAGGACGGGAAAGGGAGGAAAAGGATAATGCCCAGCTGCAACCATCGGTGCAGGAATGAAGAGGCGATCGCCATAGAATTCTTTCGTGAGATGTTGATCTTGAAGGAATGAAAATGGAGAAGAGTGGTGTGAAGGGATATCTGTAGTGAAGGAAAAGCACAGGAGAGAACATCGAAAGGTTAGAAAGGGAATACGGCAACGAACGAACAAAAAACAGAACACCATGGTCGCACTTACATTGGGATAACAAAAGGTCGAGGAATGAAAAACGGAGGCTGAAAAAGGGGAAGATTCTCCCGCCCGAAAGGCAGCCCCTCACCAAATTTTCTACCGCCAACCAGTTGGCGCACCTTTCAAACCAACGAAAAAATGCATGGAATACAATACAAAGGCCATGCATGCACGAGGATGGAGTTGGCGAGCATTGATTTCATTCGATTCAAAAGGCCGAAGGCAGGAAGTTTCTAGAACATCCAAAGGAACGTTCTAGAATTTGGGTGGAATTTCGAAAATTCCTCCCGCAGACTCCCATCAATGCAACAAGAATGGTTATTTGTGGATGTTGTTGATGATAGTTTAGTTGATAGAAGTAAAATAGTCTAGACATGTCGCGACAATGGCCTAGCAGTCAGTGGAATCAAGGGTATCGGGATCCCCGACAGCATTGGCAAACATATTACACTGGTAACTCGGGAGGAGGGTACGTTGATCGCACCGCCTCGACGCCACGAGAGATAGTACAAACAAAGAAAGCACCTAGCAGGTTGTCGAACTTTATACAAGATACACTATGCAAGCCATGCGAGACACTCAACGATGCTCAGGCCGAAGTGTCTAGATATTATGGGGGCTATTACATGGATGATTACTGCATCAAGGCAGATGGCACCGAGAGAGGAAGCAACTGCACAAAATACAAGTACCACTGCATTGCCACCAGGATGCAGCAACAAACCGGCATACCTGTAAAATGCAAGTGGCGATGCCAGATAAGGAAGCAAACAGTGGAGGACCGAGAGACGTTCACAGTCTTCTCAAAGAGCTTCTTACAGCATAATCATCCCATGAAACAGCATCCAAAATCACCACAGGAGCAACACGGACTACCTTTTGCTGTACAGAGCTTCATCCAATCAATGGTCCAGCATGAACACAGTGTCAAGAACCGATGCATCCTAAAGATCCGACCTGAAGAGATTCGACAAGCACTAACCCAAGCAATTGAGTGCAGCAGACGCAGCAATAACGACAGTCATCCACTGTATACATACACGTATCTTCTTCAACCGGACTTCCGAGAGCATCTCAAGGCACAACTCAGGAGTTACACGGACCACCAAAAGATCAAATATATGGATTCGCAGTTGGGTAAAGCGCGTAGGTTGGACAATGCTTACAATCTATACAAAGCATTACAGAACTGGAGGTTGGATGTACCACCTGGATTCAGGGCAAGATGCTTCGAGACCGCGGATGAACTGGCCGAGGCACTTCACGCGAACGTTACGACATGTTCATCTTCGATCTAACCTTTGGGAGGTGAATAGTCACTTTGCAAAGGCTATGGAAGTAAATCCCGAAAGCAAGAGAACAGAATACAAGGAAAAAATGGAACAAGCATTTTTCGCGACGTCTCCAACCGGTCTGTTCATGTTGCTTAACCTCGCAATGCGCAAGGAAGGAACAAGACAAATCTGTGCAGACGGCACAGGGGGCACTTGTGTTGATATGAGTACCCTTGTCGTTATTGGAGCACTGTCTGTAAAAGAAAGGGAGACACAAGGACAGGTCACAGCATCATTGAGACCAATCGCATATTTGCATGTCGGTGCTGAAAGGTTTTACCCTTATTGTCTCACATTGTACGTTCTTCGAAACATCTGCTGGAAACTCTTCAATGTTGACTTCCAGTTGGACTGGGGCACATCCGATCGTGCCGACGCTTTCATCAAGGCACACAGGTACTTTCACAATCATCCAGCTTGTTGTGATGGTACCGTACCAGCTGGCAGGGTTGCCAAGGAAGACATCATCATTGAATTGGAAGTGCCGAAGGAACAGACCGATGCAAGATTGCCCAAAGCATCCCTCGCCATGATGCCCGAACAAACCGTGAGCTCGAACGCATCCATGGTATGTCCCACCATTGACTGGATTGCATGGAGGGAACAAGCAAAGATTCCACCGCATGTACATGCAACAACTCTTTGTTACTTCCATGTGATGCAGCACTTCGCGAAGAATGATGGCTTTGTTAAGAAATTCAAAGATCGAACGTTCGCCAGAACAAACAAGAATGAAGGCAACGTTAAGTCAGAGGCATACGACAAATCCAACTCATTCACCACTGCAAGACTATCCAACAGCGAGCCAAAGTTACAGAACTTGTGCTCCGACACTGGTCGGAAGAGCGACAGGAACCAGAAGCAGCGGAACATTTTCTTCGAATGTACGCGACTGGACCTTACGCGAATCATAATTATGCTTGCACCGGTCACTGTGGAGTGCCGTGCAGCAACTGCAGCAATGAAAGTCACAACCACCACGCAATCAAAGCCAAGGACTCCCCTGTGGAATTGAATGTATCCCTTGCTCGTCTGCTGGTTGACACCTTGGTTAGTCTGTTGAGAAGGGATGCCATGGATAGAGACGATCCATGCACAATCATTATCCCGCGAACGTGTTCCCTAATATGTCTCATCACAACAACGTTTGTCGAATTTGGTAGAGACATCGTTCCAATTTCGTCCAACGGAATGGGAGTACCAACTGCATGGATTGCCAACACAGGATTTCGAATCGGACATCCTTTGACCAAGGAAAGGATCGCTCTTGTAAGTTCTTCGCTCCAAGGGGACGATGAGCCTTTCGACGATTTGTATTCAGAGACCGGACAAGGGCGGGATGTTACGGCACGTAAAATGATTACAGTCACAAGAAATTGTTGCGTTCTTACCATGCGAACTGAAGATAATGCCATCGTTGGTGACTGTGAAGATTGTCGGAAAAGGAATGGCTATAACTGTCCAGCGGCAGCTGTGCTCCGAAGCAGATACGGACAATTCGATGTCGAGGTTGAGGATATGAGGAAGGTCCCAAGCAACACAAGACAGCGAGGATATAAAGCACAGGGAAGAGGCCGCAGAGAAGGAATGTATACTGGGGGACTTCTCAAGAATGGTCGAGTGGCCCGGAAGACTCCAAAGATGCTGGACACAAAGGCTGATTTCGTTAGTAGCCTTTCCATTGAACACAAAGTGCAGGCAGTGAATTATCTTGGTTTGACCGTTTCAGATAGCCAGAGGTCCCGCTTCCAAGAAGTCCACAGCACCAGCAAGAACGTCGAGGACTCCATGTGCACTCAAGAACTCCTACTATTCATCAAAGATGGACCACTGTACCGTCGTAACCAGCAAGTAGCTCTGCAGAGTCAACGAAACAAGAGCAGTGAGCCGTACGCATCTGTATCGAAAAAATGAAGTTGACGCACCGATCTTACCGTCGTCAGCATGTCGATCTTACCGTCGTCAGCATGTCGGCTTCAGCCTTTGGTGCGTTGCTCTTTTCATGACGCAGGCTGGAGCACGAAACGTCGGAACGGCAGTATGTAACAGATAAGCAACATATATTACTTAGATTGCTGCGACGGGCTGTGCTTTCGGAAGATTGCTGGAATGCACTCTTACTTCCTTGACAGTGGCTAAACCATCTATCCTCAGGTCCCGCGGTGACCATAGCGACGTGCAAGATGGCAAGTGAGCAATACATTGTTGTTGAGTATGTACAAACCGATTGGACGTCCCGTTTGACCAGATCCGACACGACCGTTTGGTTTCCACAAATAGTTCATAATTCGGCGGAACAGCCTCCCTGAACCACTTTCGAAATATTCCTTCGTTGCTGTTTTCCTTTCAACAACCATTCACCATGGCCGACCGTCCCCCGTACCGTGAACATCGTCATACCCCTTCGCCCCCGAAGAAGCCCTTGGTGAAGCGAGCAGGCTTCGCGAAGATGACCACTGCTGGAAAGTTCCTGGCTTTGTCATTGCTCGTCAACTCGTCGAACGTCAAGGGACTGCCAGTGGAAGTACCCAGGTGGCTGTGGCTCGTTCTCGTTCGGCACTGTTCCTCGGTTGCCAACTTTATCGTTCTCCAGTGTGACGCGGGATCGAAGCTCTCCAGGTCATCGTACTCTTCCTTCTTTGTCCAAGAAGACCGACACCATCACTGGCCCAGTCTCTCAGCCAATGGTTGCACGCCGTGAGCTTCCAGAAGATCCCATCGATGAATTTCCCATCGACGATGCCGTCCTTGCTTTGGTTCGCAAGCAAGAGAAGACTCTCCTTGGGATTCGCTCACTTCGTCACGCCCACCTCGGTCATCTCGGTGACAACTTGTACCGCATTGACTTGCCTGAACGTGTGCTTGGTGGGTGGTCTGAGGTTGATGATGTCGCTCGTGAAAGTCTTGACATGACCCTTGCGTGGATGTTCAACAACAAAAGGAATTGGAGGAATACCCCTTTTACCATGGTCAGAAGGTGACTATCCTTTGCCACCCGTCGGCCAAAAGATTGATCTCTGTGGTGTTCCGAAGGAGTATTCCACTATTTTCCATGAGAAGCTTCGTCTCTTCTTGATGGAAATCACTTCGCGTCCTCGTGAATGGCCTATCATCTGCCGTGCCATGAAGTGGTCCCGCTTTGAGTTTCATCGTCGCAAGCTTTCCTTCGATGCCTGCTACCCATGGAAGGGTTTCACCTGCATTCCTTTGGTTCGACTGACCAACGAGGATATTGAAAGTCAGACTTACGATGACCATCGCATGGGGTACCTTTGTCGGACGCCGGAGAATTACTTGAACCATACCATGCATCGGTGTGGTATGGATCCATACTTCCTGCGCCACCCTCCTTCAGATGATGACTCGGCCTTGGATGACCACGCCAGCTCTGTCGATTGGATTACCCAACAAGATGCCACTGACAGCGAGCAGAGCGACGACGATGCGATGGACAGAATGGCGCCGACGATGTGCAAGACAACAACGACGACCATGATGAAGCCGATGGAAGTGAAGAGGAGGTAGAAGAAGAGGAGGTAGAAGAAGAGGAGGTAGAAGAAGAGGAGGTAGAAGAAGAGGACCGTAAGCCATCTGCGAAGCCTTCTGTGTCCACTCCAAGTACTCGACAAATGACTCCAAAGAAGCGTGCGACACCATCCGATTCCCTTGGATCTGGAAAGCGACAGCATTTGCCTCCAATGTCAAATCGTTCCAGGGTCACGGACGATACCATTGATGGGGATCACCCCATGGCGAAGCTTCCTCCGGTTGAAGTTCGCAAGAAGAGCACCACTCTGTTCTGTAGTCCTATGGGAAGCAACTCGGCAGCATCCGAATCCGGTGGTGATAGCCCTCCCATTGATGTTCCTCTCTGCCAGTCTCCTGTCTTCTCTGTGACCTCTTCTGTCACTGGAACATCGGCTGGAACATCCAAGGCTCATGTTCGCCGTTCTCTTGCAAGTTCACTCATGATGACTCAGACTCTTACTCGACAATCTACTAGTGATGCAGAGGAGGAAGCTTGATATGTCTGTTCCGGAATGTATTGTGCGTGGTGAGGTTCTTCGATTGGTGCATGCCATTGATTGAATCCAATGAGTCCACTCGGCGAATGAGTCACTCGCTGTTTTGGTCAGCGATCTCTTCAAAGTATGAGTCATGTATGTGGGATCGCCTGTGCGTCTATGAATTGCAGCGAGTACGGTTTAACAGGTTTGGTATCTAGATGTTCTTTGGTGTTCCTCAGTGGCAGTATTGGTCACGTATTGGAGTTCTGGTAATTATTTAACCGACATGAATACCTATATATCCAATCAACTACATGTGACTAGCCACTTCTCTGTTATGCTCCTCGCGCCTGCCCCAGTCACGTTCCAAAACTTCAACCCGGTCTTTAGTAAATAGATTTATTTTAAAAAAGGCACTCGTGCAAGAGCATCCAGACGCGACAATAGCTACCGTACATGTACCGGTGCATACTAGTACATAGCTACTGAGCAGAAGCAATAACTCTCCAATTTCCAATGGTCAAAAAGCAAATAAATAGTAACAAGACAGCTGGAGAATTAAAGCAACTGTGACCAAATAAATGTGTTCCACAGCATTCCTTCACACATCCCATCTCAAGGTGAACTTCAGGTAAACTGGTGCTCGTTGCATAGAAAAGTAGAAAAGTGTATTCAATGGTCAAACTCAGTACCGTAATTGAGCTGGCAGGTCGGTGCAGTCGAAATAGTTTTTAATGCTTGCAGCAACAGCAGCACAAACTTCACTTTCAATGTTTCAGTCCTGTGGAGTGCTCCACTTACTTTTCTACTGTCAATGCATTGTAGCTTCCCCACAAGCAAGTGGGCGAGAATTGGCAAAAGAGATTTACGACATAAATGTCCGGGCACATGGCTTAAAACGCACCGACTGTGCCATCTACGGCATACAACCATCTCCAATTCATCCTGTTCCAAATAGTCATTCTGGGTACACCCACAATGGTTGAAGAGAGTACCACAATCGTGGGACGGGGGGGATTCTGTAAGGCCTGGATACAGGGAGAACCATTTCTGTCGAGGTTCCCGGGTGTATCTCCCTGACCGAGTAACTTGTATGTTGTAATGTTTAATAAGAGAGAAAAGTTTCAATCAGAACCTGGATTGCATGCTTTGCAAGTTACATTATTCAATTGACAACAGAATCTGATGGTAAATAAATGTAACTTTAATTGTCTATGGTTCTGGCTTTTGATGCAGGGGCACCGCTGAAAAGGAGTTCACGTTTCTTGTAAGACGTAAGATGTCAATGCGGAAAGTAAGTGTGTGGATGTGTGGATGGAGCTGGTGGATGGTCAGAAGGAGAGAAGGAGAGCGTCCATGGTTGGACTGACACTCACTTTGAGGTTTGATGGAGGCCATTGATCGCATCTCACCTCTCCGAGCTCCTCTCAGCGCTCATAAAACTCAGAAGCTGAGCGTTTACCTCTTCTTTTAGTTTTCCTTGTACTGTACTATAAGAAAGAATCTGCAACCATGGCAACCTTTGTGGATCTCCGTCGCATGCTGAACAACGATCAGCGCCTGACATCCGTCTTTCTCACCTTTAGCTCTCGCTTGCAAAGTGAAGACTTTCGCAGAGCCGTCAAGACCAACACCGTGGTGGAGGAACTTGTGATATCCGCGGACGAGTCGTTCTTTCAAGAGTGCCCTGAAGATGGTATCCAAGATATCTTGGAAGGATTGGGACGCCTCCCTCGGCTCCGCAAGGTCTCGATCAACTCTTATCCAAACTGCCCGGGGATTGTCAGCATGAAGGCCATCAACGCCATGGTATCTGGGGCCAAGCAGCTGGAATGCCTGATCATTGCGGATCTTCAAGTCACTGGAAGCCCTCAAGACTTTGCTGACTTTGCCGAGCATGTCCAAGGCATGTTCTTTCTAGGATCGTTTGCCTTTGTCGAGTGCAAGATTCTATTGGAAGACAACTCGGGTGGTACTTCTTCTTCTTCCTCCTCTCCAGTTCCGCAGTCCATGATCCGCAAGAATCGACCCCTATCTTCCCAAGATGACGAAGAATCCCCCTCTCCTCTTCTCTTGGATCCCCTGCTCTTCTCTCTCTCCATGCTTCCGTCTCTCCAAGTGGTATCCATCCAACCCAAGCAACAGGGAAGCCTGGGTAGTTTGTCCGTTTCCGCGGCTACTGCCTTGTGTCTATCGGCCAGTATCAAGATGCTCAAGCTTCGAAACATGGATCTCACACCGGCCCATGCTGCCTCCATGGCATTCATGTTACAGAACAATCAAACACTACGCACACTGGAACTGGGGTGTCTCCAAGGAGGTGCCATGGATGCCGCCACGGCGTCGTCACTGGGCGGTATGATTCAACGCAATCAGGCTCTGCATTCGTTGGAACTGGCCATTGAGACCATGCTCTCCGATACGGCCGCGGAGATTCTCGCCAAGGCTCTGCGGCACAATCGTCGGTTGCGCAGTTTTGCTCTGACCGCTCGAACCCCAAAGACGATTGGTCGTGTCTCGACCAAGGCCCGCAAGTCCATGCTTCAAATGCTCCAATACAACTATACCCTCGAAAAGTTCTTTTTATTCCGCAAGTATCCACTCAGCCGCGAGTTCAAGCTCTATTCCAAGCTCAACCAACTGGGACGAGGACAACTGTTGACCAACCAGCAAAACACCAATTCTACAGAAGCCTGGATCCAATCGTTGGCCAATGTCAAGGACGATCTCAACTCCATCTTTTACTTTGTGTCCTGCAATCCAACCTTGTGCATGTCGTCGACGGAGCTATCGACCAAGCGCAAGACCAGTCAATCGGAAGAGGAGGAGCGTCCGTCCAAGAAACAGCGAGTCTAACCATTATTTGAAGGAGCGGCGAGCTTACTACACAAGATTCTACATGATATTATTCTTTCATACTCTGAACAGCAAGCAACTTTTGTACCACTAATCTAACAAACTATTTAAAAAAAGTAACAGCCAATATCAGCCTCATCTTGATTATCGTTTATCTTTATCGTCCTGCACTCGATCACATACATTAACATCGGCCATGGTGCGCTGCGCTGTAGCCGCCGCAAGCACCTAAATTTCCATGGGTTGAGGGGAAGGACCGCTTGAAAGAAGAAAAGAGCCACTAATAACTAATTTGCGTCGTCAGCTGGCTGGCTTTTCCAAGAGGTGCAAGTTTGGTCGCGTGATCTACAGGTATAAAGTCGGTTTTGGTCCATGGCTTTGAGACATCAGCGATACTATAGCAAAAACAGTACAATATCGGAAACCTTCTGTCTCACTCTCTACTTTCTGAGTTAACGGGACTCAATGTTGGACCAAAATATTTATGCATCTCGCCAAAAGTATAACGAAAATGAAATACACGTTTAACATAGGGTATATGATTTTAAATCATGTGGTCAGTATGGGTAACATACTATGAGTCAATGGTACTTGAGGTCGATTTCGTATTGATCTACTTATGGGTCAATCGGACATTGAGACAGTCATTTGCTTATAGACGGTTTTGGTCCATTTTTGGGCTGTAGCGCTGGTACACTTTCTACGTGTCTCACCCACTTCCTTTATTAAACTCGTACTCACCTTAATAGTTGACAATCCGGCAATGAAGCGATTACAACATTGACTACTGGGACATCAACGTGTCAGTGGGCCCCAGTACCGCCGACACAATTAATTGTGGTCCCAGCTAGCTAGATCAATACAACATGTACTTGACTTTACCTCATCTGTCCACGGTCTAAAGAAAATAGCAGGCCTTTCCCTCTCATCTGCGACAACCTTCATGGGAACGATGAATACGTCGTACTATTACTGTGAGTACGGCAAGAACTGAAACTACTGAAACTCAGTCTTGTATCTATTAGTAGCCACCGATACCTACCGGGAGCAGAGGTTTTGCAAGATCTGATGATACCGTCGCTGAATAGCAGGCCTATCCCTCTGATCTATCTGCGACTTGCCACAACCTTCATGAGAACGATGAATACCACAAGAATTGAAAGCACGCAATCTAGCTAGCCACTCAGGAGCTGCCGGAACCAGCACTTCGCACCGGGACGAATAGAGGTTTTGAGGGGTATTCTTGCTACATGCATGAATGATAGCTGTTTTGCTCTACAGTGGACAGTCAGTTGGCTCAAGGGCTCGACCACCGATGTTCCACAACTAAAAGCCAACTTGGGCAACAACACAACGCACTACATGTAGCTACCGTAGTACTCCGGACTCCAGAGTACACAAGCTGGAGAAACAATGGAGGAGGGGCTTGAGGATGTGTTTTGTCTTGGATCTTGGACAGGCGGCAGTTTGGCTACTGGTCTGGCTCGTTTCTGTAGGCCTGTAGGTATGCATCATGCAAGCTCTTGCAAAGTACATGTAGCTCAGCATGAGTGAGTAGTACTACCAGCCATGGTAGAAGCTGAGAATGTACCACCGTACCAAAAGACCCTGGCTGCAGGCCTTACGGTAATAGTCAGGGGAGACGTGAATACCATGGTTGGAGCTGCGAATGAACATGTACCACCGTACCCAAAAGCCCTAAAGGCCTGGTCAGGGGCGTAATATCATGTCCAGGGGCAACTTGAAAAGCCTGAATGTGCTACAGGAAGTTGGCTGGCCAGCCAGTGTCCTCACCGGCGGCTCTTTCTTGAACTGGCAGCATCGTATTTGTTCCACCGTGCCCTTTTGTTGATCGATGAGTCGAGTCCATGACCACATGCATGGACACGATGTCATCATGGACAGAGGCACATGATACAGGGGCACTGCTCGCACTGGTACATGTACGATTGCGACGGAGGTGTGATCATAACCAAATTGGTTGGTGGGAATGAAGCACATAACGCGTGCTCGCGTGCACGCCTTGAAAAGACAAAGATTTAGCGCCATGGTCCTTGTTAATCCTTCCAGTGGACATCAATGAATTTGCATCATACTGAGTACCGACTGGCACTCCGGTGCAGATTCATTTGACATTTCCAAAATTGGTTTTGGCCAAACCAAAATCGGAAGCGGTCATTTCTGAAAGCAATGGTCATTTCACGAATCCTGCATTGAAAAGACTGGATCCCACAAAGAAAAGATTGAAGAAAATAAAATGAATATTACCACCATGGCAACAGTGTTGACCAAATGGCCATTAGCTTTACCAATACATTGATCTGATTGACTCTTTTCTAGGAGTAGCTCCCCAACACACTCACAGACACTCCCCTTGAAAAGAGTCAATCAACTCTAAGGTTTCCTATGGAGCCTCTATCAAAAATCAGGCTTGGATTCCATATTGTTGTCATTCTGCCATGGATTTCTCCATGGGAAAGGTGCTCCAGTCCTCACTCTCAGCACTCAATCTGCACTGCAGAGTCTGGTAGAGGAGTGGGTGGCTCTGCATGAAGACTGGAGCCCCCAATTCAAAGTTTCAAAGGAGAATTGTTGACTTAAAATGCCACAAATTTGTAGTCAGTCCACAAGTCAAAATCGTAGTGGAGTAGCTGCCGCTTGTTCCTTTGTAGTAGCAGTGTCATAAGACTCCGTGAAAGAGGAAGCAATCCTCATGGTCGCTGCGTGAAAGAGGCTCCGTGGCAGCAGGAAGAAGACGAATCGATCCGCCGAAAACTTGTTGCCAGTGCCATTGACGAGGCGTCACTTGTTGTTGCAATAGCCGTAACCGCTTGTTGTTGTGGTCGCTTCGTGGTAGTAGCGCTCCGTTCGCTCCGTGGAAGAGGAGTCGTCATGGTCGCTAGATTCCTCCGTGGAAGAAGAAAGAAGATATCGATCGTCGAATGGAAGCTCCTGTCACCGACCGATCCGTCGAACGGCTGCCGTTGCCGCTAACCAAACAAGAGGAGCCTGTCATGGTGGTGAGTAGTAGCCTTTGTTAAGAGGAGTAGCCGCTGTAAAGAGGAGGAAGCATCATCTTGATAGAGTCGAGTCAATAGAGTAAAGGTATGGAAATGAAAGAGGTGTACATACGAGTGGCTTGGATCGATCGATCGATCCGAGTGATGTCAGTTGAGATTAAGGTTAAGGCTATATGTCCCTTAAGTCTTTTCACGGAACGTTCCAGGACGTTCCGGTTCGCGTACCGGCAGCTGGCTTGCGTTTGCGTCAATAGCTTCGATACAGCCTGTACGGTACTAGTAGTCGATTGAGTCGACTCGTCACTCGACTCAGTCGAGTGACGAGTCGAGTCGAGTCCAGCGGAAAAGCAAAGCGTACTAGTAAGCGTCAAGCATCAAACCGCTGACGACACCCCATCACCCGTGCACTTGGAGCAGCATCATTAACAGAGCTCATGACATCGGTCCTCTTGTCGAAGCTTTCGATCAGCCCAAGAGAGTCCAAGTTGCCGCCGGTACGGTACCAGTATTCATTCAGCGGACTGAGGCTGGTGGATCACTTAGCTACAGCGGGGAAGCAATAGAAAAGAAGAAGAAAGAAAAAGACAAGAAAGAAGAAAGATGTCGTTTTACGATGTGGAGCACGAAAAACCGGTGGATCGGAGCAACGTGCACAAGTGGATCTGGGAAGATCCTGCTCGCCACGGCAATGTGTTGACGCAAGATGGGATCACTACCATTGCGCATCACAAGTACAAGGGTGGCGAGTACACGCATTTGGACACATTTATGAATCCCTTTTGGATTTGGATTACCGAGAACATCATTCCCATGAGCATGGCACCCAACATGGTGACACTCGTGGGCAGCATGGCCTGTGTGACATCCTACTTGACCACGTGGTGGTTCATTCCACAATTTACCGAACGCAATCAACCCATGCCCATGCCCATGGCGCTGCTCCTGTTCAATGGATTTGCCGTGTTCTTTTATCACACGGCCGATTCGTGCGATGGAAAACAAGCACGTCGAACGGGGACATCCAGTCCGTTGGGACAACTCTTTGATCATGGACTCGATTGTTACGCGGCCATTTTTACAGTCTCGGTCGCACAAGGAATTCTATTGTTGGGACCCACACGAGCATCGCTGTTGACTCAAGTGGCCATTCAATTGACATTCTTTTCCACGCAATTGGAAGAGTATTACACCGGAGTGCTGTTGCATGCCCATTCCAAATGGCTTGGTGTCACCGAGGTGCGTAACTACAGTACATATCACACGTGGATTATTATTGGGAGCAAACTGTGATTTTTGAACTCACCCTTGCATTGTCGTTCTTTCTTCATCAGTGCGCCTACATGCTGGCACTGGGCGGGATGGCCAGTGCCTTTTTTGATCGAACAGCCTACTTTAGTCAATCCCTCCAAGACGTCTTGTATCCCATCCTCCCCATTTCCAAATTACCCAACAATCCAAATGATCCCGATCCATTCGTCACTGTCCTCCACACGGTGCTGTCGGTACAACTCAAACACTGCGTCTATGTCGGTTGGATTGCCATGTCGTGCATGCTCACATCCGGGTGCATCTATCGGACCGCCAAACACGTCTACCAGCAGTACAATTTCACATCCATGCTCAGTGCTCTCTCCAAACTATTCTCGCCCTTTTTGGTCGCCACTGTCATGGTCCTGGTGACACCCAACGATGTCGTACAACAAGATGCTCGATTGGTCTGTGTCGCATCGGGGCTCTGTATATGCTTCATTACCGTCAAAATGATTATATTCAGCATGGCGCGCATGGCATATGCCAGTATCCAATTGGATATACTGCCCATTGTGGGGACACTATTGTTTTTCGCGTGGGAATGTGATTATGCAGAACATCGACGATTGCACCCTCCCGGAATTACATTTGGGTTGCAAGCGGTGGTGGTGTTTTATATGGCCCGCATTGCCTATTGGACATCCATTGCCATTCGACAACTCTGTGAAAAACTCGACGTCTACTTGTTGACCATCAAGCCGCCAAAAAAGGGGTGAATGTGTATTGGTTGGATGTGTGGTGAATGTATGTTGTGTGTGTGTGGTCAGTAGGGTTGGTGGTTGGTGCTATGCTAGTTGTAGGTAAACGAAAATGTAAATAAAAATATGCCGTGTCCTTGTAGACTGCTGCTGTATTGTATTGGTGCTGCTTACGGATGTGCTGCCGTAGCTAGATGCAGGTTTTATGGAAATGCCGTGTCCGTGTAGAATGATGCGACACGAGCTAGGTTTCTGTCTTCTGAGTTGCTTGTTTGGATTCCTCGATGCGCACCACAATCCTTCTCTCTTGAATACTACAGCACTACTAGCTAGTAACTGCTGTATCTCAGGACTGAAGACAGCCAGCTACCAAAAACACTAGTGGGTGCTCCCACCATGACCCCCCAGGACGAAAACTTGTAACTTGCTCCTTCTCTTCCCGCCATTCCAGCAATCAGCAACCCAAGAGTTACCAGTTGCTGTTACCCTATCTCTAGATTCGAGGGGGGTCTCGAGTAGAGAAGTAAACTGCGGCGGACCAGGCTTAGGAAAAGAAGAGGCAGAATGCGGGACTAGGTTCTGTGGGATCAGGTGCAACAAACTGAGGACCAACGCAAAGCAAGGGATCTGGTCATCCTGCAGCCGGCTGATTGACCAGTGGCGGCAGAACAAAAGATGCTTCATGGTTGTACCGCAACTCAAGTATATTTGCAACACGGTGTATGAATCGTTCATTCGCTGCCTGCAAGTTTGGTTGCAAAAAGATAGTGTCCAATCGACCACCGGGGGACATACAGCCGATTTGCCAGCTTTCGCGAAGGTCCTCGGTTTGAAAGGGCCGACACATGCTCGCCAGTAAGTTGAAGAGTACTCCTGTATGGTAGTTTCTGGCTTGGTGCCACTTTGTAGGGTAGTGCATGAAAAAGTCCAAGTACATTTGTTTGACTCCTCCAAAGGTAACGTGCTGCTTCCAATCAAAGTTTTCACACTCCAACAATGAGACGACCCCTCGACGCACTGCTTCAAAATCAGGATTCATGGCTTGGAAGCAAAAGTAAGCAGTGGCCAGCAGCATGTTCATGGCAGGACCACCAGATTTGGGTATCAACTTGGCATTGAGCTTTGTGGCATCTTGCACCAAACCGTAGTGGCCACTGTGCATGTCTCCCTCCCGGAAAAAAGTAAAAGAGAGCAAGTATCCCGGAAAGAGTCTCATGACCTCTTGGATGCAGAAACGAGCATGATCTACAGACTCCACAATATTGTACTCTTTTCGAAACTGATGCAGCATTTGGACCTTCTCCATTGCCTCGTCTACATCCGTTGTGACTAGTGCAATCTGAACCAGCTCGTAATCTGACAGCGCGCTTGTATCTGGGTCTTGTTCCACCGCGTTCTTGAGTGCCCAAGCTCTCAGAATCTCACCTTGTTCCAGATCCATTCGACCTGGGTCCAAGTGGTGCAAGATTGCTTGTGGTCCATGATTGTTGCGGTGTCCCCTGTCATCCTCGTCGGGTCTTTCACCATCGTGATGCTGTTGATGCTGATCCATCGTGTGTTGTGTTTGCTTTTGGAGGATTGAAGATTGTGCTCCACTTTAGCACGAGAAAAACCTTCTGTGAAAATCCGTAAAAACTTTTTTATCCCGTTTGAAATCTTACCGGTAGGGATGGAGTTAGGGTATCTTGCTGGATCTTTCTCCAACAGAAATCTGAGATGACACCTCGGTCATCCATTCAATTTTTCAAGTTCTCTCATCTATCTCACGTTCGAAGGGCCCACAAGAAACACAAGAAGCAAGAAGCTCCCAAACTTCAGGCTCAATAGACCATCATCATCATCATCATTATGAGCTCCAAAGCAGCCGTTGTGGAACTGAAATTCGAGCAAAAGCACGGTACCCGTTCGGAGGGACTGTCGCTGAATCATGTCCGCGCAGCCGTCCCTGCGGGCCTCAAAGATCGCATCACCCTTCAAGAATGGTTGGCTACGTACGACAATGTTTCCACCTTTCTGGTCAAGGAAAAGAGAGACTTGTGGTTGAAGGAAGGCCGAAGAGACGGTGCCGACATTACCGTGGTGGGAGAAAATGCTTGGCAAAAAGTTTTAAAGGAAGAGCAAGCGCGGTATAAGGACAAGAAAGTCCAAATTGCCTTGGCCATGATCAGCACCCATGCGGAACATGAGGGCCGACGAGGATCCGTCCGATCCATCCCCATGGGAATTCGATTCGAAGTGGAAGAGGCTAAAACCTTTGATTTTCCTGGACAATCCAATCCAGTGGCCATGGATGCTGTTGCGGAATGTTAGAAACGTTTTGGTTTTTTCAGTGGTGGAGTGGATTATTGTAGCTGCCTATGGCTCCTAGCAATTAGGAGAGTATATTACTAGTATGGTATACTGTGGACGGAACGAATCAAGCGGATGTGTCAATAAAAGCAATGTGCAGTACAAGAAAATGAATGTTCAGCCAAAATTTTAGTTTATGTTCGATTATAAAGTAAACATCCAAGAGAGAAATTTTTAAGCCACAACCCTGGAAATAGGGTAGTGAGTAGTGAATAGTGAATATGGAACCCCCCCCCTTCCACACCTCCGATCATCATTTCCCTTGCCTCCTCGCCTCCCCAACCTCCTCCACGCCTCACATTCACTTCAACACAAACCATGACCTGTGGTATGGCAACCATAGCTCAGATCTCAGTAAACTGCTCATTAGAATACTCAATGGCGTCAAACCCTCTCAGGAGGTTAGTGTGGCCGGTGAGCAGACCGGACTGTGGGAAACACCTGGGCCTTGGCTCAAGGGCATTCTCCTCTGAATCCATCAAAAGACGTTTTGTATTATAGTATGAGGCACTACCGTACAATAAAAACATGTACTCGTACGGTACAACCCCTCTATTGGTACAGTAAAGCTATGTCTGCCGTGTTTGCTGGCTTACAATTCCTCCTAGCCATGCTGCCTTTCGGGGGGGGGGGCAGTGAAGTTTGCATGTACTGGGGGGGCAGTGAAGTTTGCATGTACTAGCTACAGTATGAAATACAGTACCACTACTCGTAGTACAGTTTCGGTACTAGTACGGCGACACCATCACAGAGGACCATAGCAAAAAGTGCCTGAACTGGGGAAGTTTTTATTCACAAAACCAAATCCCACGTTTGCAAGCAGGCTCTGTGGTTACTTTTTGTTTGTTTGGTTTCTTGACTTTTCATCCCCATGAGAAGAATCATCAGTGCTTAGGCTTTGTGTCACCGGTCTGACCGCAAGGAAGCATGAGCCAAAATAAATAAATGAATTAGCAACCAGCAAACCTCTGAAGAATGGACTGAGTCTGTCATGGGTGAGCTATGAGACTTCTACTGATGATGATCCCATACTATGGATTCTCAGCTTCTCGTAGCTTTCAACCTACAATGTACTATCTCTGCTGGGCATGTACCTACATTTATTTTAATTTAATAGCAAGCCAAGAAGACGATTGAAAAACTTAGTCTCATCATTGGAACGGTGCTATATTCTTTGTTCCGGGTTGAAGCTAATAGCCAAAGGGGTGCCAAGTCGTCATCAAAGACCACATCGACAAGCCAAGTGAGCGAAGGTGCTTCGGTACATTACGGTCCCATCTGCTATGGAAGGATCTCTCGCACGAATCATGTTGTAATTAGATGAGTAATTAGAAGCAGATGTGTCACACTGTCCGAGCCAACGGCTCGAAAGCTTGGCATGCGAACCCACTCTGGTCATTTCTATGCTAACGTGGTCTAAGTAGCAAAGATGGATATTGGCGCTCCGGCGCCACTCTAAGAAAAGGTGTTGCATCACGCGCAGAGATCGGAAGGATCCTTCGCCTGAAAACTTGTTTGCTTCTGACGGACCGAAAAGATAGATGAGGCGGATCGAAGGAAGGAATAGCCACCAATCTTCGGAGTGGTTGCTTTGTCGTCTCCTTGTTGGGCACTTTTTTGGTTTCTTGTGCTAGCTAGCTAGAGAGAAGAGTGAGAAAAGTGAGAAACCCTTTCTGTTTTTGTGACAAATTGATCCCTTGAATAGCCTGGGCGCACAATGAGTATTACTGTGATTAAGATTCTGATAACGGCGGCAAGCCTTACCGCTGCCGTCCTGTGGGTGGTGGGCAGGCACAACGACCACATGGCCTTGTTTTCGCCGCAATCGAGTCTCAGAGGGTCATCAGCAGCTGACGATTCCCAACGAGAATTGAAAATTGTGGTGGAACGGCGCTTGCCCGATCTTGAGGGGTTTGGTGGAGAGCCAGATGATTCTTATTTTCCGCTGCAGCTTTGTCAAGGCGATTGCGACTCGGATGACGAAGTAAGTGGCTATATGTGTATAGAATGCCAGGAAAATGTAATGTACACAAGTTAGTTGTTCTCACCTCGTCAGTGCTTTTTCCATCCCCTTTCTGTGACATTAGTGTGATGTTGGCCTGGTGTGTTTCCAACGAAGTGGTGGGGAGAACGTGCCGGGTTGCACGGGGAAAACGGACAACGATATCCTGACAGACTATTGCATATTAGGCAGTATCATCCAGGCTGCTACCAATCCCCCCGACAACAATGATGGAAGGCCCATGGCACATTTGGAACTAGTGGCCCAGAACGGTGTGCCGGCATCGGCATATCCACTGGAGTTGTGTGAAGGAGACTGTGATGATGATTCAGATGTAAGTTGTTGAACACAACCCGCACAGCCTTCTTTTGCCTGACTAAGTGTCTGACGGATTGACTTGCCATTGATTCGTTTTCCTATCACGCAGTGCGAGGGAGAACTTGTGTGTCTGCTCCGAGAAATCGACGACCCCGTCCCGGGTTGTCTGGGCCCGGAAGGGTTGGCAAGTCGCACCGATTTTTGTGTCTACCCTCCGATTACGGCAGCCCCCACGTCGAGCCCCACATGGAACCCGACCACGAGTCCCAGTACGCCTTTACCAGCAACTCTGGATCCAACCTGGTCTCCTACGGACGCACCAACGGCACCCGTCTTGTCTCCCAAGGCATCTGCTCTCACGGATGCACCAACCACTCCTGTCGTGACTCCCACACCCACCGCTTTTGATACATCCAACGCTGCGGCGTCGTCTCCAACGACGTTTCCATTGGGTGGCTCGGCGGTCCTGGATGTGCCTACGAGTGGAGCTGCTACCACTACCGTGGCGCCTTCCATGGCTGCCACGGAAACTACTGATTCGCTTGTGCCAACTCAAGTCACCAGCACCCCTACTGGTGCCCTTGGCCCCGTGGCGCCCGGTAGTGCCCCATTGCCTGCTTTGACCAATGTCGGGAATAACGGCGACTTTGCGCACTATCCCCTTGGCTTGTGTGAGGTAAGGCTATCATCTCTCTCTTTTTGTGCTGCTTTTGTCAAAGTACGTGTGCTTGGAATGTATGTGTTCCTCACATGCTCGGCCGCGTGATGTACCTACCAGGGAGACTGCGACACGGATGACGATGTAAGTGCAGCTTGGATGATTCGTTTGGCAGGATGCCCGTAATGTCGAAACCAAGAGTCAACCTCTCACCTCTTTATCTTTCACATTTTCCGACTGGTTCAGTGCGAAGGAGAATTGGTCTGCTTTCAGAGAACCAAAACACAGCCCGTCCCTGGATGCCAAGGTGCAGGAGTCTTTGCGGCAGACTATTGCTTTGTCAAAATGTCTAGTCCACCCACCACGCCAACTCCAACCACAGTGGCGACACCATCCATCACAGTAGTACTTCCAGTGGACGACGTTACCTTGTCTCCAACTGGTGCTTTCTCTACAGGGCAACCGACCCAAAGCGAAACTGAGATTGACACTTCCATGGTGCCTTCCGTTTCCATGGCGCCCACGCTTCGAGGCACATTGTCAGGCTCTGTGGTTGCAACCACAACAAAGTCGCAACCAACCATAGTGCCCACTACGGAAAGTCCAACCTCCGCGCAGTCGGGGATCACGACGGCATTTCCAAGCATTGCCATTGTGCCCGATAGTGTTTTCACGACATCGCCAACCGCCGTGGTCTCGACTGAAGAACCAACGGAAGTGGGATCAGCATTTGGCACAACAATTGCACCAAGCGACGTCACATCGTCGCCGACGTCATCTGCGGAACCCTCGACTACTCTTCCAGAAACGTCGTCTCCTACCATGGTGATCACATCGCCGCCCACTGCTCTCGAAGAGCCGAACACCGAAGCTCCTTCGGTTGCGCCCACCGTCACAAGTATGGTCCCCACTCGAGTCTCATCGGTTGTAGGAGGCGAGACGTTCTCTCCAACTGAAAGAACGTCTCTGGAGACACCCAACCTCAACTCGGGTCAACCCAGTGCAATCGAGACTCAAGCCCAGTCCACATTGCCAACGAGTTTGCAGTCTTCTGGGACAGAGGCTCTACCACCGACGGATCAACCAACCAGTCTTCAAGTCATCGCAATACCTGCTACCAGTGAGCTGAGCATTGTCCGTGAAGCTCGGATTATGGACAAGCAGCCTGAGATGCATCCCCACGAAAAGGATGTCTTTAGTAACTCAGCCGTAGCGGACGATTCTCCGCAGGAATCGGAAGAGCGAGATGTGTTCAGCTTGCCCTTTTTACAATTGTTAGGTGCGGATGGAATCTTTGATTTCTTTCCACTGGCTGAATGCCAAGGTTCTTGCTCGGAAGACTCGGACTGTATGGATGGATTGAAGTGCTTCGTAAGGCAAAACCGCGAGATTATCCCTGGATGCCAAGGCGTCAGTCATGACCGGGCAAACTATTGCATTCGCACAGTGGTCGATGTTTTCGAGGGACAGTTATTGAATGCTATTGACGTCGGATACCCCCTCACGGATGCACCAACCTTGACACAATCACTGGAGGACTCAGCATCCATGTCGGAAACCCCTAGTCATCTTGACGTGCCAGAAGCCTCTGACACCACCACCAACTTGACAGCAATGTATCTACTTCCGCAGCTGCAAATTGTTGGCAATGGACAGATATTTGACACGTATCCGCTCACCATTTGCAAGGTAAGGCATAAGTTGCATCTGAACCTTGTGAAAGTCTTGTCAAAATGATCTCAAAAAGACTTGTATATTGCATCATTCTGGTAGGGTGATTGTGATTTCGACGAGGATTGCGCGGCTGGGCTCCGCTGCTTTCATCGCCGTGCATTGGAACCAGTTCCTGGTTGCGACACGAAAACACCGGGAGCCTTTGGGGCAGACTATTGTGTTAAGGAGAGGTACATGGTTGACGCCTTCAACTCAACTGGGCATGAATTTGGGTCTGCGGACTCCCCAGACACTGAGGAACAGCACGAAATCATTCTCGAGGACGAGTCTTGGGCATTCCACAAAGAACAGGAGGAGAAGGACGTGCCTCCGACTACGAAGCCCGTTGACTCTCCCTCTGCTGAACCATCCTCCGTTCCCAGCTTGACTCCAACCGATGCGCCAACAGCTGCGCCAACCACAACGGCACCAAGCCTTAGCCCAACCGAGATGCCTTCAGCAACCCCAACAGTTTCAAGTGATCCACCTTCAATAACGCCAACGGATGTGACAGTGATCTTGGGAGCCGCAGGGACACTTTATCCAACTGGAGAAGAACCACTCCCCAATCTCTCCCTCGTCTTCGACCCGGTCTTGCCCCTGTCAGAATGCCACGGTGACTGCAACTCCCACGACGATTGCGCTCCAGGTTTATTATGTTACCAACGAAATAGTAATGAGATGCCCGTACCAGGATGTGAAGGTCGTGCACCCACTAGCGCAGACTTTTGTATCCGAGCGCAATACGTTGAGGCACATTACGTGTGGGAAATCCCTGGTTACGATGACCACGATGCCCTCGCCGAAGGAGAAGCCGAGACTGAAGATGCTGCTTGGGATGCAGCCATTGCCTCAACGCCTGAACCATCATTGTCATCGACAACACAAGTCTCAAATGACACCCTGTTTGACGTTATCACCAATTCGACAGAGGCCCCCACAACCTCGTGGACTAGCGACAGCGTTGTGTTGGAAGCCATCGCTGCCGAAACGAATCTTCCATCAAGTCCGGTCGCCACTACCAGTGCTCCAAGCACCAGTGGTCCCTCAATCGAAGAAGGAACTCTTGTTCCAACTTTTGCGTCCACAAGGAACGAAACCACGATGGCGCCATCCATGTCTAGCACTGCCTCTCCAACCGAATCACTTGCAACGACTCCGGCCCCCAGTCCAACGGCCAACACAACGGCTACCTCAACCAACGAAACATACCTAGGAACGACAAACCTCACAAACAGCGCTACAGACATCAACGGCACTACAGACACGAATACATCAGCACTAGAATCAACCGAAACCTCAACACCGACGACTTCAAATAATACCATCGTGGATGTCAACAATACGACATGGGTGTTAGGTTACTTTTCAGCGGAAACCAGCAACAACACAACTGGCGTCAATGCCACTGGGACCAATTCATCTCTTTTGGTAAATGCTTCAGCTGCAACACCAACAAACATGCCATCCGCCTCGTTGCCCTATCTCCAAATGGTTGGCAACGACGGGTTGTTTGACAATGGTACCTATCCGCTACCGGAATGCTACGGAGACTGCGACAAGAGCGGTGATTGTTTGGGCGAAGAGCTCATTTGCATGCAGCGTATTGCGAATGAACCAGTGCCGGGATGTCAAGGTCCGCCGTCGTTCAGCGTGGATTACTGCGTTCGTGCCGAGTATTTGATGGCCGATAATGGCGACTACATCCTTGATCAAGAGGAGGCGCAAGTTTTCAAGAAGGCGACGGCAACCAGAAACGAAGAAAAACAGGGGGGTGACAACAAATAAATAGCCAGCAATGACCGGCATGCAAGAAAAGCCCTAGCTGGTGGCTGCAGAAAGATCATAGATATGTACATGTGAAACAAAGAAGTGGGGGATTCGTGGAGACTTGCTCTCTACCATGCAGGGCCATTAGACGAAGATAGAATACATTAAAAGAACCCAAAGTAAAGCATCCACTTCCTCGCCTTTCAGTGCGGTCCCGGGCTGGCTAGCTAGCTGGGAGTCAAGTAACCGAGTCGCTACCCAACACCGAGAACCTTTCTTCGCAGGGGTTGTGGGTTTACATCTGACTGGCTTGACTCGAACCAGAACGAAAGCTTTCAAGGAATGCAGGCAATTATTGGCCGTTGACATCCAGAGCCATGAAGCACTACAAAGCAGCTTATGCCAGTTCCGGTGATTTCCATATGCATGGATGATCAATACAGCGACCATGTACCTTTCAAATGAATCAATGGCTATTATCTATTATGCATGCTTGGCATCCATCTCAACCTAGCTAGACTGAACCTCCTTCCTTCCTCATCCTTCCACCAAACCTACATGTAGAATTTGTCGGATACTTCTGAAAACTCTGTCACAGACTTTGTCCCAGCTTCATCACCAGGTGGTGTCAATCCCTTGGCCTGCATGACAAGTGTGCACCGTAGTGCCCACCAGAATACAATAAGCCGTGCCTGTTCATCTCCCAACTGCTTTCTGGCCTTCTTCCAGCAGGAGGATTCCATCAGGGCATCAGGCATGATATCAATCAAGAGGAGAACCTGTGCCACTCTCTGATCAATCTTCTCGGACAACTGCTTCTTGAACACCTGGTCTGGCATGTGCACCATAGCCCAGTATTTGGTTGTTCCTACTCCTTTGGGTGCCTGGTTGTCTGGGTCATCCAGGATTGCAATGACTTTGCTGGAAACAATCTTGCTGATCTTGCTGTTGTAGAGCTTGTCAATCAGGCTGTAGAGGCGGGCCAATGAACGGGCACGTTCATGTCCAGCCAACTCCGCATCGGCCAAGTGAAATGGGAGCTCAAAGTCAGCTGCTTCCTTGGGAAAGAGATTTAGGGTAATCCCAGGCTCACCCTTTTTCTTCATACCCTGGGAAAGGATGGGTTTGAGCACCTTCTTGTAGAACCAATAGCCATTTTCATTCTCCACAACTGCGGCAACAGGACGAGGAATGCCAAACATGGCTGTGGAAACATGTTCGCCCAACAGAGCCCGGACAACGCGGTTCATGTATTGGTACACTAGCAGAACAATGGCAATCTCAGCCCGGTTGGTTTCCGACAGATCTGGGTACATCTTGACGAGCTGATCTGTATCTGGGATGGGTTCACCCAAGGTGGTGGCCATGTAGACAGTTTCTGCATAAGCCCTGGCTTGACTGGAGATTTTGACATCTTCATCGTCCACAGCCTTGGCAGCCTCTTCCAACAAGGTGTGAGCAAAGATACAAATAGGACAATCATTCTTTTTGCTGTAAAAGATAGACAATTCTTCCATTACCAAACGGTTCAAGCCCACTTCGGTTTCCAAAACTTCGGCAATGAAGGACCAGATTGTTGGGAAGAGATCTGGATCAACGTCATGCATAGTGAATGGACCATTGTTACCCATGGCAAACAAGCCACCAAGGCCAAAGTACTTTTTGATGCTCTTGCGAGTAGCTTCTGAAGAAGGCATGGTGGATGGGTTGTTTTGATGGCTGGCTAGCTAGCTCCGAGGCAGTTTATGAGAGATTTGTTTTGAAGACGGATTTTTGAAGAAGCGAGTTTATGAGCTTTTTGTGTACGGAAGACTCAATTGTTGGTGCTATAACTTGACTTCTTGGAGAAGGGTGAAGTTCTTTTCTTTTGGATGGTCAAACAAAATTTAATGCGCGCTAGTATGTTGGTCCCTTGGCATCTTGAAGGAAGTTCTTGGATTGTCAGTGGGAAGGTCAATGACCTTCAGTCCCACCGTTCTTTCTGAAGCTGGGAACATTACCATGGGAACATTACAACATTACCGAGTAGTCTAGTTTGGGGGGGCAGTACTAATCATACTGTACAGCCATGCTAAAAAGGAGAACTGGCAGTCTTGTTTGACTAGTGACTCGAGCTTTGCCGGGTCACAGCAAAAGGCCATTGTCTCCTTTTTCTCCTCCCTTTTATCGCAGCCCACAGAAGAGTTGCCGACAAAAGGAACGACAGAGTCAATACAACAGAATTGACAGACAACTGATACAGTGTACTTGGACTAGCTTACCTTGCTTTCATTCAGACTCAACAACAGAAGAAACGGTCAAGAAACGGTCCACAACGAGTCATTACACCGGTCAGATCTGCCAACGCACCTTAAAAATCCAAAACGGACCCAATCCAAGTTCCAACACAACCGACCCCTCCCCAATAGTATCACATCACATTGTTAACAATCATAACACCATCAGACCTTTCCCCGTGACAAGAAAAATCATTTTAGCTTGCCCGGTACTTAAGCCTACACGAATCCACAAAAAGACTCACACTTGCCTCAAACAAAAATGGGTCTCTCCAACCTTGCCAATAAGAATCTCCAGCGAGTTCCTCCCAGGCCTCCCTCGCCCACTGAACCTCGCATCACCCTTCAATCCACCATCGACAAAATGCCTGAAGTATCTGCAGAAGTGAAAGGGCAAATTATGACAACATGGATTGAACTCCTCGACAAGGATCCCAGCACAGCGGCAGCAGCCTGGTGTGACCTCAATGAGGAGCTCATCGCCAATGGAGACGAAGACAAGCTCGGCCCAACACTCATGCTGGTCAACACAGGACAACACAACTTCGAAATTCTCAGCTGCCTCGCCCGGGCCCCGACCCATGCCGAAATCCGAGGCGCCTCGGCTACGGCATCCATCCTTGGAACAGGAAAGTTTATTGCCATTCTCGGCACTCGCGGCCCCAAACCTGACGACGAAGACAAGTGGCTCATAGCTCTCGTGGACCCGGAAGACACTTTCAAACTGCGCTCCCACAAACTTTCCACCTGGGACAGCATCCCAGACCCCGAAGCAACTGACACCCGCGACTCCAACAAAGGTTTGGAGGCCACAGATGAAACCACCACTGAGTACTACCCTATCCTTCCACTCATAGGAAAAGATGTCTGCCAACTCGTGCATGACGGCCTCTGCTATGACAAACCCACCGAAGAAACAGACAAATGGAACCCCTTTGTCACCGCCCAGAAACTCAAACCGTACCTCGACGACATCAACTTCCCCGATGACACCACGAAACAGAAAGTCCACAGCATTCTCCTTGGTCTGACAACCGCATCCTCAAACCAAAAAGAATGCGGCGCTATCAAGTTTGACCTCAAACCACGTGCCACAGTGGACCCACCCCTCCACGAACTCATGGTGCCGCTTATCAACAGCATCCTTCCCCCGCAGGCTACCAGCCATTTCCGGACAATCCACCTGGGACCACTGGCACTCCACCGGAGCACAATGCCACAACCCCAAATACCGCGAGCACCCCAACGGGGCACAATGCCCCGGCACACAATACCGCGAGCACCCCAACGGGGCACAATGCCCCGGCACACAATACCGCGAGCACCCCAACGGGGCACAATGCCCCGGGCCTACCTGGCACTCCAAACGAGCACAATGCCACGGTCACAGCTGGTGGCACTCCAAACGAGCACAATGCCACCGGCGCCCCCATGGGGCAGCACGCACTCGATGAGGACAGAGACCAACACCACGTCCAGTTCACTGAACCGCTCTCGCAAGACGAGCTCTGGAATACCACTTTCCGTCTCCGTCCCACCACTGCAGCTCGCACCACTGTCGAACCGCCAGCAAAACAGCTTCGACTGTCTGACGACCGTGGGTTTGATGCGCTTGACACCTACCAAAAGTGCCAGATCTTGACATACAGCCGATGCACGACTGCAAGCCAAATCAATGCGGCCTACATCGAAATGTTAGCCATCTCCAAGACCAGTCGTTTCGCATACTTCAACAACACCATCCTGCCAATCCTCAACAGGTGCGCCCCTCAAGCTTTCTCGGGTTTCGAGTACACCGAACAGGCCATCAACGATCTGTGCGCGTGCAAATGGTCCTCATCCCGCACCGAGGATTGGTGGAACGGTGTCATTGGCCACAACATGGCACGCAATGCAAAAGAAATTAGGGAAATCAATGCCCATTACCAGCGTGAACGGCGTGCCCAGGAGTACAACCAGATTGTCGACAGTCGTACGCATCGTTTCGCGCTCACGGCCCCAGCCCCCATCACAGAAATGATCCAGCTGCTCAATTTCCTCCAACGCGTGGTCGTCTACACCCGCTACTTCCTCAGACTCTCCGCCGTCGCCAATGCGGCCAGTCATGTGCATGATACACTCCTCCAACGGGGTGCCTATTCTGTTGACATACGCACGTGTGTGACGTGGCGTCCTAACGCTAGTTTTAAGTCTAATCTCACAATATTCCGATCGTAGTTCACTCTGAATTCAGAAGCAAGTTCGGTTGGAATTTGCACATCAAGCAAAAGAAACTTCCTGCGTACATTCTACGCAGACGTGTACTAGGCGTTTGGCCATTGTCAAACAATTTCGAAAATTCGCTCGATTACTATTAACAACGGTAACTCAAGGGTGTAACTCAATACGAAGTTACTCCTTTTTCTTTCATTATCATTACTTGCGACTCTTACTAACACAAAGCCGCAAGTACTGTTGTTTGTTATTTCCTTTTTAGGTTCATTATCTCACCATGACGACGCTTGGTCAGTCGGGCAAGAATCCGGTCATTCCCTTGGTCTCGGAGTACAATGCGAGCGATGTCGCTACTACTGAGTTGTTTCGTTCTTGGCAACATGCTGGGAACAACGTCAAGCGTAAGCATGACATGATTGTATTGGCAGACAAACAAGAACCGGAACACGTCCTTCGAGTCATCAAGGAGTTCGATCAAGTGACCGGCAACTCAGCTTTGAATTTGGATACCGGGACATTGAGGGCTAATTTCTTTGTCAAATGTCTTCAAGGCTCTGCTCGAGACAAGTGGAACGTGATTCGAGCAGCGCGTCCTGGTGCAGCAGTTGCTGATTTTGATGCCTACGTGACGTCGTTCATTGCTAAGTTCGTTGAAGACACGGATCTCGCTGATCAGACGCGATATTTGCAGACTGCGACCAAGCCATTCAAACTCGATTGCAAGACCCTGTGGTCTCGATTGGAGTACATCAATACCTTGATGGCGAAGTTTCCTGGTGCAAACAATGCGAACCCTTTTGATGCTGCTGCTCTCAAGATGATGTTTTACAACATGATGCTTCCCCAGTGGAAAGACAAGTTTGCCGATTCTGCTCATGACATTACGGTTATCGGCCCAGTTCAAATGGTTCGTTTCTTTGCCCGTCAAGAAAAGAATTACAACGCTCGCCAACAAGGCTCTCGTGGCCGTGGTGGTCGTGGACATTCTCGTGGTCGTTCTGGCCGCGGATTTGGAAGAAGTGGACGCTCTTCTGGCTATCGTCGTATCTATGGACAAGACGATGGTCCTCGAGCTGGTTACTATCCGCCTTCCCAGCGTTTCCGTCGTGGAGGATGGAGTCGAGCTCCTACCTGGACGTACAATCGTAGTCCTCCAAGAGAATACCAACGTGGACAACCAGACGGACAGCAACGCAACAACACTACTCCGGTGCGCAACTTTGCCGGACGTTTCGGTCGTGGTAGCTATGCCTCATCACCTCGTGGTCGTGGACGTGGACGTGGTTACAGTCCTCGCCGCGATAATTTTGTGGCTGACGGTGATGTTCGCGAGGATGATGTGTTCCACGTCGAAGAACAATCCTCTACGGTTCCTGCGGCTGCTGCTATGCCGCCTCCTGAAGAAACAGACGAGATGTATTATCAGGAAGAGCCCCATTACTTTGATTCCATGACAGGGGGTTACGATGAATCTGAAGAGTCTTATGGATACGGTGGCGATTACTGACCACCTACAAAGGTCTTTGAGAATTATGCAGCGGCGGCTGAGGGAATCAATGTGGACAAGGACTTGGTGCCGATGGCGCTTTGCGTCCTACATAGTATACAAAATAAACCGTCTGATAGACCGTTATTAGTCCTGATGGACTCTGGTTCTAGTGGAACCTGGATTAGTGAAAAGGCGTTGCCTAAGGGAACAGTTCCTCGTATTGGAGACGTTGTGTCCACCACGACATTGGCTGGCAACGTCAAATCGAACCGTGTTGTTACCTTAGACCGGTTGTGTTTTCCAGAGTTCTACAAGTCCCGTTTCATCGATGTTGCCCATGCTCGAGTCTTTTCCGCGAGCAATGTTCGATATGATATGATCATTGGACCCGACATCCTCCTTGAGATGGGATTGAAGATTGATTTCAAGGGACACAAGATGACATGGGACGAGGTTAGCATCGACATGAGACCTTTTCCTTCGTCTTCGGTTGACAAGAAGACTCCTCCTGCATCGATGTTCCTTGATCTTCTTGAAGAAGATCTCGAAGATGACGATACTCTGCCTACCGTGGCTTCCACGGATTGCTGTGAAGACGACTTGGATGATGATTTGGACGACATGCTCCCCGGATCCGAAAAAGAGTCTTCATGTTTTGCAACTCGTGAAGAAGAAGAGAAGGCAGCAGACTTGGGTTACAAGACCAAGCACATCCTCGAATCTAAGTACGAAGGGGCCGATATTACCGCCGTTGTTCGGTCCTGTACTCATCTTTCTCAAGAACAACAGAATGACCTTCGTGGTGTCCTTGAGAAATATGACACCTTGTTCAGTCCTGAACTTGGTAAATATACCGGCGGACAAATTAGTTTGGAGATTGATCCTACAGTTCCGGCCCATCGAAGCCGACACTATACTGTTCCTCATCACCATCAACAAGACATTTTCAAGAAAGAATTGGATAGGTTGGTTTCCCTTGGCGTTCTTGAAGAAGGAAGTCGTTCCGAATGGATTGCTGGTACTTTCATCATCCCGAAGAAAGACGGTCGAGTCCGGTGGATCTCTGATTTCCGTGGTCTCAACAAAGCAATCAAGCGCAAGGTTTATCCAATCCCTCGCATCGCTGATATCCTAGCTCGTCGCAAGAACTATGCATTCCTTACCAAGTTGGATATCTCGATGCAGTATTACACCTTCGAACTTGACGATTTCAGTTCCGAATTGTGTACCATTGCTACCCCTTTTGGGCTTTACAAGTACAGGCGACTACCAATGGGCGTTTCTCAATCTCCGGATATCGCTCAAGAAATCATGGAAAAGTTACTCAAAGCTCTTGATGACATCGAAGTCTATATCGATGACATTGGTATTTTCAGTTCCGATTGGCGCTCTCATCTCGACAAGCTCGATCAAGTACTCAAGATCCTACAAGAGGCCGGATTCACAATCAATCCGTTGAAGTGTGAATGGGCCGTGCAAGAAACCGATTTTCTGGGACATTGGTTGACTCCCATCGGTGTTAAGCCTATGGCGAAGAAAGTGCGCGCCATTCTGGACATGAAAGCACCTACTGATATCAAACAATTGCGTTCGTTTCTCGGTTTGGTGACTTATTACCGTGATATGTGGCCTCGTCGTTCTCACACCTTGGCACCCTTGACAAAGCTGATTGGTACCAAGAAATTTGAGTGGACCGACGAGCAAGAACAGGCTTTCAAAGCCATGAAGGCCGTGGCGGCAGCTGATACTCTGCTTGCCTATCCCGATCACAACGTTCCATTCGAGATTGATACGGACGCTAGTGATTATCAGCTCGGCGGAGCTATCAAACAGAACGGACGGATTGTGGCTTACTACTCCCGCAAGCTCAATTCCGCCCAAAAGAACTATACTACCATTGAAAAGGAATTGCTCTCCATCGTTGAAATCTTCAAAGAGTTTCGGTCTATGTTACTCGGAGCTCGTATCAATGTGTTTACTGATCATAAGAACCTTACTCACAAACTTTCCGCTTTTCAAACTCAACGTGTTATGAGATGGCGATTGCTGTTGGAAGAGTTTGGCCCAACCTTTCATTACAAACCGGGCCCCCAGAACGTCCTTGGTGACGCCCTCAGCCGGGTGCCCACTTCTCGCGAAGATCGTGACAGTGCCGATTCCGATCCCCTATCCACATCTGCTGACGGATGTTATTCCATTGTGGAGGAGAATCGACGGCTGGCCGAATGTTTGATGCATCATCCCGACGACGGTATGGAAGAATCTTTCCTTGAGCATCCTACATTCGACGGTGAAGGACGGAATCCCTTCAATTTCTCGGTTCTCGCGGAGTACCAAGCAGCTAGTGCAGATTTGCAACAGACCGTGGTTGATAACCCGGAACGGTTTTTCAAGAAGATGTTTGGAAACAGTGAGCTGATATGCTTTCGTCAGAATGACGAGGACAAGATTGTCCTGACAAAAGAGTTGCTTCCCAAGTTGGTCAGCTTCTATCACAAGTCCATGGCACATGTCGAAGGCATGGATCGTTTAGAACAAACGATCAAGACACATTTCTATCATAGAGGTATTCGCGACGAAGTCCGAAAACAAATTGAGCAGTGCGAAGCATGTGCGAAGAACAAACGAGCACGACGTGCTTATGGAGAATCTGCTCCACGTGATGCTACGGCGATGCCCTGGCAAGAAGTCCATTGTGACACAATCGGTCCGTGGAAGATTGAGTTACGACAACGGACGTTGACTTTCAACGCTATGACTATGGTGGATCCTTGCACAAACTTGATAGAGATTGTACCTATCATGCGACGCACGTCGGAAGAAGGTGCCCGAGTGGTCGAAGATACATGGTTTGCTCGGTATCCTCGACCCAAGAAAGTGGTTACGGACAACGGTCCGGAGTTCAAACTGGAATTCATTGCGATGGTGAAAAAGAATGGTGCAGTGCATCGCTACTCGTCCCCTCGTAATCCACAAGGTAACTCGATGATTGAACGGACTCATCAGGCAATTGGTCAAGTATTGCGAACCATTGTGGTCTCGCGTGATCCCAAAAGTGTTGCTGATGGAATCAAGGTCATTTCCGAAACCTTAGCGACAGCGATGCATGCTCATCGTTGTTCCGTGCAGAGTACGAACGCGTATCTCACTCCTGGTGCTCTTGCCTTCAAACGAGATATGTTTCTTGATATTCCTGTTTATGCAGACATCCTGGCCGTGCAACGACATCATCAATCCTTGGTTGACAAACGTTTGCTGCGGGCCAATGCTAAACGCATTTCCTATGACTACGCGGTCGATGACCTGGTCTACAAGCGTGCGTATCTCGGTCTCAGTGATAAGTTGAAGCCTACGGCTTCTGGTCCCTACCGTGTTTCCCGCGTTCATACCAATGGCAATGTGATGATTCAGCTCAGTCCTCATCAGTTCGAGCGACTGAACATTCGGCGCGTGTTTCCAAAGCATCCAGTACCTCCGGTTGCCACCGGTACGGGTTATTGAGGTTCCCCTGATTCATTTTCTAAATGTTACTGATGCTCGGCGCCTATTGTTGCCTCACAGTGGAGGAGAGTGACATACGCACGTGTGTGACGTGGCGTCCTAACGCTAGTTTTAAGTCTAATCTCACAATATTCCGATCGTAGTTCACTGTCCTCTTGAACATCCCCACCTGGATCGACAACAAACCCGGCGAAATTGTCTACTGGCTTCTCCAGCTCCAACGCGACGAGTTCTCTCACGTCAACACCGAGCACGATCTCCTCAACCTTGAGCATAGCTGGTTTGTCGACCCCGACCCACTTGGCATTGGGAAGAAAGCTGAGCCTTCTCAACTCCAGATTGAAAAAGAAAGGATGCCTGACGAACTCCAGCCAACCAGTTATCGGAACCGCCACAGGCAACCTCGAAACCCCCATCCCAACAGGCTCCCTCCCTACCCTCCGGCACCCCCTGCCTACCAGGGCCAGCAACCCCCAGGGTACCCCGGCTACGCCTTACCTCCTCCGGTCCCTCCTACCCGCCGCGGCAACGCGCCCGGGCGGCAGAACCGCAACCCACCACGCGATCACGCCCCACAGCAACCAATCCAGAATCCGGCACTTCACCGGAATCTCCGACAGTTTTGGGCCACCATTGTCCAACCCCAGCAGCAACACATCCCGCTTGGGTCCATCCTGGCTCGTGGAAACTCCAATACCCAAGATGCCCTTACCCGTCTTGGCCTCACCGCTGATCACTGTGGCTTGTTCCACCTCCGCGGCTCTTGCAGCCGGGCCGGCTGCCCCCGTCACCATACACTCGCAGCAAGCGCTCCTCCGACCGAACTCCAGGTCAACACAGTGGTGGGCATTCTTAATGCTGGCCTAGCCGTGCTGGTGGCACACCCATGACTGGCCCCACAGCCCGTCCCCCAGCTTTGGGACCGCTCGACTGGTCACACTTACACCCCCACGATCAGAGCACCTCCCAAACCACTTTCACGTTCATCAACTACACACCCTCAGCACACACAGAAACACACACATTCCAGCACGGCACCACCAGCCATCCATCACCAGCATCCTTCTCATCAGGCTCCACCTAGCCTCACCGCACACAAACGAAACCGTCCTCCACCTCCAGGCCCAGTCCCTGGCCCTCCCAGCAAACGACCACGCCTCACAGAACCCTCCGTTCTCCCGCAGAACCCACCACATCATGCCAAAGCCCACCAGCTCCGTCCGCGCACCAACAGCTCGGCGCACCTCCCACCGGCCCAGCAGCCCATGCCCGTGGCCCCGCAAGCTGCGGCACGGCAGCTTCACCGGCTCCGGCACCACCTCCAACGGCAACCCAATGCTCCCACTAGACCCGTCCATGCCGTTCCGCCTGCAGCCCGCCCAGTCAGGTCCGACCCACCTCCGGTGGATCTGCAGCGCCCACCGAACCCGGCACAGCTCGACGACATCTATGCACACCTCACCAATACCCAAAGTAAGTACAATCAGAACATCCCCACCCGGGGACTCATGTATCCTGGCTCTCTTGCCCAGACCCACAAAGCTGGTCCCCAGCTCCGTGAATATGGCACCACCGGCTGCCCTGTCGACATAGACACCAATTGGACCCTGGAGCAGCTCGACGCGGCTGTGGCCTACGGTGCTCACCCCTCGGCCGAGTCTGCCGATGCTGCCAAAGCCTGCCGGGACGAAGCCCTTGAAAAAGTCCAGCAAGATTTCGTCAAACTCATCCCATGGAGCACCCTGCGAGCCCAAGTTGCACAGGGGCTCAAACCCCACACAAAGGTCAGCCCAATCGCGGCGATCCCACACAAAAGCCGACTGTTTCGCATGATCCTTGACCTCTCCAACAAAGGACAACAGAAGCGCGACCCCAACAGTCCCACCTCAGTCAATGAAGCCACCAATGAAGACACTGCTCCCCAACAATCCATGGACCAGTTGGGAAAAACTCTGAAGCGCCTGATCTACACCGTTGGCTCTCGTCCCAAGGAAGACGGACCCCTACTCTTTTGTAAACTCGACATCAAGGACGGGTTCTGGAGAATGTGTGTTCCCGAGGCCCATGAAGAGCAGTTCTGTTATGTTCTCCCCCAAATCCCGGGAGACCCCCCCGAAGAGGTCCGCATTGTGGTTCCGGCAGCCTTGCAAATGGGGTGGACATCCAGCCCGGCTTTCTTCTGTGCCGCGACCGAAACCGGGCGAGACATTGCTGATTGGCTCCGACAGTTACCACACCTTCCACCACACCCACTGGAACACCACATGTTGCCGGACCCCCTTCCCGACCCCGTCACCCATCCATCTGTCATCCCACTCCCACCCAGGCCCACCACTCCGAAAGAACTACATGCTTTCTTCCACCTTTTTGAGGTCTATGTGGATGATTACATCGGGCTGCTGCAATCCACTGACACTGAGGCCCTCCGGCACCACAGTCGTGCCCTCCTTCACGCCATTCATCAAATTTTCCCGCCACCTTCAGCCACAGGACACGACGGTGAAGAGCCCATCTCCATCAAGAAACTGGTGCTCGAACGAGAAGGACTCTGGGAGGCTGTCAAAGAAATCCTTGGCTGGATCTTTGATGGCTTGCAACGCACCATGCAACTCCCTGACAAAAAGATCGACACACTCCGGGAAAGTCTCCGCTCTCTCGAACGATCGGGCTCCATGGCCCTCAGCGACTTCCAATCTCTCCTCGGCAAGTGTCAACATGCTTGCCTCGGCATCCCAGGAGGCCAGGGTCTCCTCACTCCCCTCTACAATATCCTCCACCAGGCTGGGCAGCCCGCCAAGCGCCAGCACCAAATCCGAATCCACCCGAACTCTCCCCAACTACAAACGCTCAAGGATTTGAGCGCCATGTTCGAACTCCTCAGGGACAACCCCGTCCATTGTGAAAGGCTCATCCCCGGCACCCCATCCTACATTGGCTATGTGGATGCATGCAAGCATGGGCTCGGCGGTGTCCTCCTGTCAGGCACCAAATCCCTGCACCCCATCGTCTGGAGGCTGCAGCTCCCCCCAGACATTGTCGCACTTGTTGATGCCGGCGATCTTACCATCAACGACTTGGAAATGGCTGCTATTGTCCTGGGATACCTCCTTCTGGAACAGTTAGTGGACCTGGAACATCTGCATGTCGCGATGTGGTCCGACAACACCTCGGCCGTCTCCTGGGCCACCACGTTCAAATCCAAGATGTCCCAAGTGGGCCACCAACTCGCACGAGCCCTGACGCTCCGCCTGATGGTCAACAAGGCCTCCCACCTCGCCGCCCTCTCCATTCCAGGGGACTGGAATACCATGGCTGACCTAGCCAGTCGGTCATACAAAAAGACGGGCACCAAGGGAAATTTTGATCTCTCCGACTCTGAATTTCTCACCATGTTCGACCGCACCTTCCCCCTCACACAGGACGCCTCGTGGCTGCCGCTCCGCCCGACCGACAACATCATCTCGCTCGTCTATACCGTTCTGCGCGGCAAGATGCCGCCAACGGGATCCTGGCTGCGTCTGAAGCAATGCGGAGCCGTTATTGGCGTCACTGGCAAGCCTTCACCCGGGAACAACAAATGGATCCCTTCTCGCCGGCGTTGCAGCAGAAACACGGGTTGCTCTCCTCCAAGGCTTCACCCGTCACGTCCGTGAGGGGCATGCGGGTCGTGGACACCGAGTTCGCGTTGGGTCAGTCCGCGACGCGCTGTGGGCCATCGGCAAGACCCACCAGCTGGCTGAAAAGCCGAACCCAGTGTACCAAGACGGTGCGCATGGCCACTACTGGGTGGCACTCCAAGACATGCTCAAGACTTATCGCCGTGAAGACCCCGCCACCAAGCCACAACTGGCAGTGCCAGTCACCCTGCCGGAGCACCTCCTCAATACCGTCACACCCAACACGGCTCAATCCCACCAGCACCAGGCCATTGCCGACCTCATCAACATTGCCTTCTACTTCCTCCTCCGGGTCAGCGAGTACACCAAACCCAGAACCAAGCAGCGCAACACCATCCCCTTTCGGGTCAAAGATATCACCTTTCGCGATGCCCAAGGACACGTCATCCCCCTCCACTCCTCTCTGGCAAGACTGTCTCAGGCAAAGGAGGTCACCGTTCGCATCCCACGCCAAAAAACCGGGCGCGAGGGTCAACAGATACATCATGAAGCCATCGGCACTTCCACCTGCCCAATCAAGTCCCTTGCCCGCCGGGTCCACCACATCCTCACTCACAGCCCCGAATCCAAACACAACACCCTCAATCTCGGAATCTTTCACTACAGTCATCCACTCTACCAGAAACTCCGGCAAGTCTCCGCTGATCAAATCAACAACACACTCCGCCAAGCTGCTCAGGACACAGGCCTCTACAAACTCGGGTACGACCATGACGATGTCAGCAGCCACTCCCTGCCAGCTGGCGGCGCAATGGCCATGTACTTGAATGGGGTGCCCATCCCAACCATCAAGAAAATTGGGCGCTGGAGCTCCACAACCTTCATGCACTACATCCATGAACAAATCAGCGCCTTCGCCGCCGGCGTGTCTACCCGAATGTCCAAAGCCATTCCATTCCGGCGCATCCGGGGCCCAACCCTTCACTCATAATCATATCCTTCCCACACACCACACTGCACTCCCGGCCCATCAAGCTGGCCTGCCACAAACACACAAGCATACACTCCACACTCTCTACCTCACGCTGCAGTGCATCCCGCCCCTTCCATGGCACGGACCGGACGGAGCACTACAGCACTCGCAATGGGACACAATGGTATACAACAAGGGTAAACTTTAAACAGTAAGCCCAAGTTAACGCCCATTCTTAGTGTCCCAGAGTAGAGTAGCTTCAGCATTAGCCCATTGTATCAGATCAGATGGAGTTGGCAGCACGGCTGTCGCTATGAATCTGCGAAGCGGATTCATAGTGTACAGCCATGCTAAAAAGGAGAACTGGCAGTCTTGTTTGACTAGTGACTCGAGCTTTGCCGGGTCACAGCAAAAGGCCATTGTCTCCTTTTTCTCCTCCCTTTTATCGCAGCGCACAGAAGAGTTGCCGACAAAAGGAACGACAGAGTCAATACAACAGAATTGACAGACAACTGATACAGTGTACTTGGACTAGCTTACCTTGCTTTCATCCCCAAACCCGCCCTATACAACAAGGGTAAACTTTAAACAGTAAGCCCAAGTTAACGCCCATTCTTAGTGTCCCAGAGTAGAGTAGCTTCAGCATTAGCCCATTGTATCAGATCAGATGGAGTTGGCAGCACGGCTGTCGCTATGAATCCGCGAGCGAATTCATAGGATTCAGGATTTAAACGTTTTGTTTGTTTGATCTCAGCAAACAAGTGGGGTGCTCTACTGGGGGATGGAGAAATCCAATGCCATTCATTGCCCATCCGTGCCCACTCATTGCAAGACAGTGGTAAACAGTGGTTGACAGCGGTTGACAGTGGTTGGCAGTGGTTGACAGCGGTAAACAGAAGTAAAGACAGTGGTAAACAGTGGTAAAGATATCGGAGACCGTGGTAGGTAGCAGTAACAATGGTACCACTGTTGAAACAGTAGTTGGCAGTGGTAAGCCATACATCCCTCGCCAAAAACAATGGGGACAATGATTGGCAATGGATTTCTCCATCCCCCAGTAATGGTCATTCAGAAATCAGAGCACTGAGGCTCAACCCCACAGTGCCAGCAGCCAGCAATACCACTTTCCAGGAATAAACAGCTGAATAAAATAAAATAATAATAATAATAATGTAGGGACTCTCCACAAAAGTCATGCTGCTCAGAACGGTACCAGTATGGCTTCAATAGCTGCTTCAATCACATTTGAGTCTAGCTAGCTAGTAGTAGAGGCATTCTTTGCCCATGACATTGTATTAGA